TAAGGCAAAGGGAATGGAGATAATTTTTCTCCTTGTCTAACACCCGTTTCACATGGAAAAAATGCAGTTTTCAAATTATCAAGTTAAACACAAGACTTAATATCTGTGTACATATTCTGTATCAACGTAAACATTTTCCCTCTGATGTTATTTTTTTTAGTTTTTTCGCTACTGTAATAGATTTTTAATTGAAATTAATACTTTTATGGCAATCTTAGACGTCATGACATTGAAAACTCAAGAACTGTTATGAAATGTGAAACCAATATTCCATAAGAAGTAACAAACGGAACATTGCACCAAGAAAAGGGAAATGAACATTAGAAAAAGAACGTCCCGTTTATCATAAATTTTTGCATGAAGTAAACCAAAATTTTATGTCAAGAGTGACAAGAGTATACAGTTTGGGTTTGTAGTAGGTTTCAGAAATTAAGTAGCGTTGTGCACATAAATATTTTATGTTCGTTTGAACAAGTGAATTTAAAACATAATGAATATTATCAAGCAAAAAATCTAATAGTTTTTACAATTTTTTGCACGTCCAATTTGTCTATTTTTGGAAGTTTTATTGCTGAAAAAAGGGATTGTAATAGCTATAGTTATATAAGATTTATCGAAATACCAAATTATCAAAAAGGATTTTTGTTCTTTATCAGATTATGCGGCAATGTACACGTTTGTTATGTAGTTGCACGTTTGTATGTAGTTGCTGTATATATGAAATCTTTTTAGAAGTACAGTAACCGACAGTGGAAGGAAACAAGGAATTTTCTAGTTGTCAACGGATGCTATATTTTAGCTTGTTTTTCAGTCATTTTAAGCATTTTTTATTTGGTTGTGTCTTCGGTCATGTTGACACATTGAAGAAGTATTTGTTTATCATGGTTTGATTTTTAATATACATAAATTATTAGGTAGATTTCACTAAATCAGGTATTTGTTTTTGAATTAATTTGGTGTCAGTGTCGGATAAATGATAGTTTTGTTGAATTCATTGGTAACTTGTCTGGACTCAGGATGATGTACAGGTTGAACCATGGCATTTGCGTTTGCTCATTATTGAAGACCCTAAATATGCGTGGTAGCCTTTAGATATCTATTTCGTTCAAATAGGATAGATGTCTCGTTGAAGTTTACCTAAAATTTATTATATATCGAGTTAAACACTATCTTTTAAGAGAAAGAGATGTAATGTTGACACGTTAAAATTAGATACACATATAATATACCATGTCTCCTTTAGTACATCCTGGTTTGTTTTAAAAATACATATTTTTCACAACATTGTGAATTTTCAAAATGGCAACAAACAGTGGACAAAGTCGATACGAAATGTGTAGTTTTAGAAAGGGTGCATATTCAAATATTGGACAAGAAATGTATTTTATTAATTCTATCTATATTCAATATTCTTGGTTTAATATTTTTTGGCTTTTTTGGTAAAGAATTTGAAATATTGAACTCATGGAGGGATTAACGTTATTTCATGGAAGCTACAAGGAAAATCTTCTTTTGATAACTTTGATCATCCTGATAGTAGATGTGGTCCTCGTTGTTACTCTTGGAGTAAAGAGGTAAGTATAGATTGGATAATAGAAGTGAAATTCATCTCGGTTTCTGGTACTAGATTGGTCTTATATCAAATTTAATGATATAATCTAATGGAGAATGGAGAATGTGTCCATGGGACACGGATGATGCTCCGCTTGCATATAACGTTACAAAGGGACATAACTCAAGAACAGTAAAAGTGACGCTAAATTCGAACTTAATCTGAGTTTTGTGGTAATAAGCATTGTGTATAAGTTTAATAATAATTGGTTGAGGCAAACTTAAGTTATTCAGCAATTTTTCCATTTGTAAAGGGGCATTACTCTAGAACGGTAAAAATAACGCCACCCAAATTCAAACTTAATCTGTGATTGGTGGTAATAAGCATTGTGTATAAGTTTCATAATTTGGTTGAGGCAAACTAAAGTTAGAGAACGGAAACTAATTTTGGGACTTACGTACGGACAGCCGGACAAGGGGTAACACTTAATGCTCCCTCCGCTGCGGCGGGGGCATAATTACACTAGGATTGCTAATAGTGCTTCTAAATAACACCAAAGAGATTGTAAACATTAGTGACAAGAACACATGACCAGTTTTTCGAAAAGATTCATTTAAAAGAAATTTAACGGTGAATACAAGATATTTAGCACCTGTACTTGTACAACTTGGATTGTAGATTTTAATGTTAAAGTGATCTTTAATATTATCTGTATAATATCGATTATATCTAGTGAACACATTTTTTGTTAGTTTTCTTAAATCCTTTTATCACCAAAAATTCATTGAACTATATTTGACGATTTTAAGAACTTGGTAACCTGCCAATATTGTGAACTTTTTAAAAAGAAGTTATTCAAGAAGAAAGTATTTCCGATGAGTTAATGTTATAGCAAAAGAACTTTCGTCTTAGAGGACATGGTTCATTTCTTAGTTTTAATCAGCCTTGAACTAGCTTTCAGTACCTACGAGTGCTCTTAGATCAATACTTTGTGTCTTTTATATTTATGTTAGTTGTTTTTGTGCTCTGTGCAAATCTGTTGAGTCGAACCATAGTTGTCTCATTGGCAGTAGATAATTGTCTTATATACCACATCATCTTATTTTTATATAAAGGAAAGTGTTTCATAGGAGTATGTAATCAAAAAAAAAAAGAATAGAAATCTAACACAATTAATAAGAACTGTACCCAAATTACAACAAATCTAAACAATAAACTTCTGAAACAAAAATGGGGCAATTTTTTATAATAAACATGAAAAAGACAATATGAACGCACCATTATTGTGTTGTGCTTCATCAAATTTACAAAAGTAAAACAAACACAGAAAGAGCGGTTGTCGTTGGTTCATATCTATCATATATGTTTTCGTAAATTGTTTTGTTATAAATTAGACTGGTTTTCTCGTTTTTGAATTGTTTCACATTTTTAATGTCGGGGCCTTTTATAGCCGACTATACGGTATGGTTTTTTTCTCATTGCGGAAGGCCGTACGGTTGCCTATAATTATTGTTATATCCACTTCATTTGAACTCTGGGATAGTTGTATCATTGGCAATCATAACCAAATCACCTTATCTTTATACAGAAAGTGAAAACGAAAGAAAACCGAACCAAATTATATATATAAAACCAAAAATAAACAGAAAAAGATAAGTAAAAATTAAATTAAAAACAGCCACGTTTTCCTTCAATACTGACGCGCGTACAGATGGTGCAAATGTTCGCAATAAAACTTTTTGTTGCATTTATGACATTGACCTATGTATTATCAGTTATATATATATAGATACTAGTAATGTACTGGAGTTGAAGTATACCGTCAAGTGTATTGCGGTAGGTGTGTGATTCAGCCTCCTACTCACTCAAGCTAATGTGACTTTCAGACCTTCATATTAAAACTGTTCATCTTATTCTTTATACCTAAACTTATTACAAACCGGATAAATTGTCCTTTCCTATTGTTAATGCTCCTTTTCCTGGATGATAATATGTCAGTAGCTCCTTTGTGTACATTTTTCGGTTGGTTCTAAATGAGCATGTATTTAATGATGTATTAGATTTCAATGAACGAAATATTTTCGTCTACAAAAACAAAACGTTTGCTAAATCCGTTTGATATGTTCTGATTGATACTTTTGATGGGTGCTTCGTGCAGATTTGCCGAGTTAAGCCATTTGCAACTGATTTGTACAGTGTGTTCTTAGCACCACTGTGTCCAGGTTAGGGGAAGAGTTGAGAGCTCACCAACACGTTTAACCTGGATTTTCCCATTTTTGAAGGCCGTACGGTGACCTATAATTGTTTTTATCTTCGTCCTTTGAACTCTGGTGGATAGTTGTCTCATTAGTAATTATACCACATCTCCTTATTTTTATACAGTAGGAATATCAAAATTTTGTCAAAAATATTTTTTAGATTTGATCAGAAAAATTATGAAACAAGTTTATTTGAAAGTATCATTTTAATCATTGTTACTGGTACTTTTTGGATGCTCATGACATAGCAGGTTAAATATTTAAAATCGCCTAACGTAACTGCAATCATTCTTTAATACGGGTTTGCTGTATAGTCGTATTTTCTTAATAATATTTTTTTGAGTTTAAGGTTTTTCTTCTGTCTTAAAATCTACTCTTATCTTTTAATCTTATTCGGTTAATTTTACTTTAACCAAATGAAGAAAAAAAAAAGCTCTCAAAAAAAAATTAACGAAAAAAATATCTCTATGATGGAAAAAAAAATGCCCTCAAAAAGAAAAAAAAAAAGAAAAGAAAGAAGGGTAAGAATATTACAAAAAAGATAATTTGTTTGTGTGAATAAATACTACATATAGTTACGTCATGAACACGCGACTTTGTCTGTTTTTATCCCCTTGTTTGTTTGTTTCTTGATACGATATGTGAACTGACTTTGCTGCACGTTAGTCAAGCGATTAAACATTTTTGCTCTTTTTTATTTTAATTTGTCATGTTTGGGAAAGGTAATAATACGCTATATCGACAATACAATAATTTGATACATTTTGTTCAGTTTTGTTATGCGTCAGTTGATCTATTGACTGAGATTATCGAAGCAGTTTTGTATTGATCATTTTTAGGAATGATACACTATAACGTCAATACAATAATCGGATACGACATTTGTATAAACAAATCAGTTATTTAAATGTGAATGGAATTTGCGAAAATAATCATTTGAAAGAAGAGAGAGATCTGAACATTTCCTGTATCAATCAGATGTATATTATATTCTTGTGTTTTCACTTATTGTTATTTCTTTGTCTTATCTTCGTATGACTAATAATAAAGTGTATATGTTTCTTTCTTTTGTAAACAGTTTTAGCATCACACAATTTTTTGTCAAATAAAATAAGTTAGCATTATTTGTATATTTGGTACCAGTGTCGTGCAAACATACACACATAACATCCATTATGTTTTATTTACAGTGATGGCTGGTCGAAAGTAACAGAGGGAGACATCATAGTTATTGTGGTGGTGTTGGTGTTTACAGTGTGTATTCTGATAGCGGACATCACACATTTGGTTGAACGAGTTCTGTTTTCACGGAAAATGGTACATCGGTTTATATTTATGACATCCAAGGCACTTCAAATGTAAAAAAATTTCATTCACTACCGTGAACTTCGATATTAACTCAAATTTGCAATGGCCACTTACAACATTTTTTTTTTATGAAAATCAAATTGTCTTGTTTTGACATTATCTCAATGAGCTATAGTCTTACTCAACATACTTATAATTTTGTTCAACAAGGATTGATTGATTGATTGATTGATTGATTAATTATTATAAAAAAAACCCAAAGAAGGTATAGTTTCGACCAATATTAATTGAGACGATATCTATCCCACCAAGAAAGCTACTTGATCATATCCATCGCCATCATGCAAATTACTTGAAATAGAAAAACATATAATTAATCTTCAGATTTTTTTTAAATCACGTACGCTGTAAGTTGTTTCTGTATTTAGGAGTCCTTTTATAAATTATGATTGACAACTCCATGAATGACCCAAACATTTATTCTCAATTTAAAAAAAAGGGGAATGGTTTCTTTTTAATAACCCTGAAAAATTTGATAACAACCATTAAAACTTTGTGTTATTGTGATATGCATCCCATTAAAAAAAAAATAATTAAAGGTGACGACCCTAACTCATCATTTAACATGATCGCTTAAGTGAAAAATTTATGAATTTCAACAAAAAGTAATAAACATCTTAAAACTGTGCCAACTGCTCATTGAAAAGTAGCTTATTTGTGACCATTAATGATGGTATTCAATTGCAACAATATCAACATCGTCTCCGTTTCAACTAAAGCAACAAAATTTGGACAAAAAAGATTAATAAATAAAATTCTAGTCACCTAAAATGTCAATGGTTTGCCAAATTTTATCTATACGGGCTTAATTGAATAACTTTAAAAGCTTCTCTAAAACAACATGTGTAGTTGGCTATTTTTAAACGTTTCTGGCATTGATCATTATAAAGGACGTACTTGGAGAATCATATCTGACAAACCAGTCTGCTAGCTGAAACAACTGTCCTACTTGGGGCATATTACACGTTAGATATTACCGTGTTGATGGCATTATTGTAAAAGAAAAGACATAGATGTAAGTGTTTACCCAGAAACCTTTTCTGTTAGTTTTTGACTGGTCTCGTTCGAGCATTATCATCTTGATATCTTTATTTCGTATTCCCCTCTCGGCATAGTTGGTTTGACTTACATCCACTTCATTTGAACTCTGGTGGATACTTGTCTCATTGGCAATCATACAACATCTCATTATTTTTATATTGGTATCTTCTGTATGTTATTTGCACAAGGCAGAGATCATATATAAGCGATGAACTCCTCATTAGGCTTCATGTTTGAGGTGGTACCAAACACCTTGACTAAAATTGATTTTCATAAAATTTTGCCAAATATGTACTTTGACCCTTTTACAAAAAAATATGAAAATTTAAAAAATCTTGAACCACACACTTTATCGGAAAATTTCTTTGGATATATAGCAGTTGACAAACACTAATTTTGATCATTGAGAAGCCTAATATTTCCTTAAAAATAGAACGTGATTAAAACGTTCAGCTGATTTTTAAAGAGTTATCTCCCTGTAGTGTTATGTACCACCTTAATAAATTTGAAAATTCAACTATGAAATACATGCGATTAGACTACCTTTACAATGTGGCACCAATACGGGGTAATTTAAACATTAATCAAAATACTTGGAAAACAAAATGTATTTTGTGACACATTCCTGTAATGACAACATACATACAGTGATTTATTTCAAACGTATAATCTTACTTTTTTCTTACGTTATAGGGTGCATACATTGAAGAAGCAGAATTCACAGCAGATTTTAAGTGTGTTATATGTTTGGACAACTCCAAAGATCATATAGGAAAATTAAAGTGTGGTCATAGTAAGTATTAACTATTGTAAGGTTATTTTAAGGAAATGTAAGCGTATTGGTTCTAGGGTAGAGGAATACTTCACTAAAAAAAATTTTTTTTCTTTAAAATTATGACATATAATTTATTATTATATAGAGTGAGGAATAAGCAAAAAGCAAACAAGAGAAACGCTCATAACAATATACTTTCTACTGGTTGTATGAAACGATGAGGATAATATAACCAGATAAGTAATACCTGTGCATGATAAATAATTATTAATAATAGACAAATTGATTTAAACAATCTACCATGTACTAGCCAGCCTTCTTTCTGATTACAGCATTCCATTATGAGTGTATATATGACTTTATAACAAGGGAAGCATTGAATGATGCTGTTCCCAGCTGTCCTTTATGTCGTAGGACAATGGAACGGTTTGATAAATGGATTTGGATGCTAAATTGGAGACATTTGATGTTTAGGGATCACAGTGACATGAAAGGTAAAATCATTTTTTTTCGGAACAAATATAATTTATTATGTCAAAATTTGATGGAATGAAAAACAGCTAGGCAATGTTATAAAACGTAAATAAACGAAAATCTGGGTTTGGTTGATCTAGACAGTAAACTGTTGGTGAGAAAAAAAAAAGAGGCAGGAGATATCCTGGGGGACAATCAAAAGCAATCAGTAAGAGAAAAAACAAACAATATCATTGCCAATACGAAAGACAAACAATACCATTGCCAATACGAAAGACAAACAATACCATTGCCAATACGAAAGACAAACAATACCATTGCCAATACGAAAGACAAACAACAGTCTACAAAACATTTCACAGAAAACTAAAGACTTTGCAACACTTACTATATTTAACTTACCTATTTAAAGAACAAGGTGTGATCAAAGGTTCTCCGGGAAAGCAGGCATATCCTGCTCCACTAGTAACACTAGTGACGCCCATCGCTTTGCTCATGACAAGAAAAATTTCGAGCTTGATTTGATTTTAAGATTCCATAGCTTTAATATTACATTTCGATTTTGGTCTAGTACATTGTTATTTTTATCTGAACTCATGTGTTTCTGGATGTGTTGCAACATTTGCTTGTCTATTTTAATCTTTCTGCTGTTAATTTTTGATTTTCAGTTCGTTATAGATAAATTTAAACTGAAAGGTAGCTTGCCGGTTTTTAATTTTAAAAACGATATTAATGATACTTCGTAAAGTATGAAATAGTCGTGGTGAGGGGGACCGCATGATTCGTATTGCTTTTTAATAATATTTATATTAACCATTTATTTCTTTTCCCACCGTCGTATATTTGCTTCGGATTTTTTTTTCATTCATCGCATAACACCTTAAAAATATATGGTATTTTATTTATCTAAAAGTATAGCTACATAATGACTGTCTAGAGAAATTCTGTCAAGTCTGTTTTATATAATAATTATGATGCTTGTTCTTTTCAGGACTGATAAGCACTGTCTGAAGAAGACTTAACAACGAGTTCTGTACATTCAATTTTGAACAGAGCAAAGAAAATGTATTTTATAACAATTAACAATTAGCTTGATAAAATACTTATTGTTTTATTATTTTCTTTTTACTTCTTTCATTTTGTTTTTATTCGTATTTGTGAACTGCAAATAAATCATTGGAATCTCTTTTTTTTACATTGTCAATTTTAATAATAAGTAATGATGCGTAAGATCATCAAAAAAGTATGAACATAATAATTATATCAAGTATAATGTGAAATATCTAAAAACAGTTTTAATTGAAAACTATGATAAAGATATGAATAGAAACCAAAAAAATGATCTTCGAGAATCTGTTTACATAAAAAAAATGGTCGATAAAAAGATATAGTCTTGATATTTCATGTGTTTTGTCATAAATAGAAAAAATTAGATAGGATGATACAACATATTTTCAGTACATATTTTAAAAGTGCATTCTTAAGTGTGATTACCGTAATCTAAAACAAATAGAAAACAATATCATAGCTCATTCTTAATGTTGTAATAAAAAAATGTATTGCGGAGTACTCACGTATTGTAATATCTACGGGAAAGAATGTTTTGCTTTGTCCTCATGTCATCGTTTTATTGCATATGATACGCTTATAAAAGTGTACTCATAAGAAACATAACTTAAACATGGGATGAACTATATACATAGTTTTTTAATATACGTTCTGTATCTGCATACAAGTCATCCAATTGTTCGTCAGAATAGTGACATATTTTGCAATATCTCATGCAATTAGTGTTTTTTTCTACCTTGTCCCAGCGTATTCTAAGCAATTTGTTTTGGTCTGTTTTTGGATTTAAGCTGCAATAGACGTCTAGTTAAATTATTTCAAGATGCCCTGTGATATACGAAATCAACCACCTCCTCTGACATGTCACATTTTGAGACGAAAACAGACCACAAGGGATGTCTGCTTTTAATTTTAAGAAATTGCTAAAGCATTGATATCTTTCATGCCATAGATGACATAGTATTAGGAATCCTACACATTTTTTAACACTTTTATTAACCTCGATTGTGTTTTTCTTTGCTGCGAAGCCGCTATCCGTGTTATTCATAGCATGTGGCGTTCTACACCTTGGTAATGCTTTTAAAAAATAATAAATATAAACATTTTCACGCTTTTTTCGCTATTTTTTGGAATTTTTGAGTTTTGGCTTCTTTGTCAATTTATTATTTTCAATGCTAGTAATTTGACGCAAGTGCTCCTGATGAAATATATTCGATCCATTATCAACAAAAATGAGGGTACCTGATTTGGTTGAACAAATCACCATACCATTCGTTGTTCTTTTGAACTGTTTATGAACTTGAACAAAAATTATGCAATCCTTTTGAAATCCCTCCTTCCCAAATATTCCCTGTGGTTTTCAACCAATAACAGTTATTGCATGTTAAGGTCTAGCCCATGGCAAAATTTAAACTACATTATAACAAAAAGTGATCATCTATAGTTATTATTAATTAAACTGAGTAAAAATTTGTTGTGGATTGAAGGCGTCATTTTGATTGTTGTATTATTCAAATGACCTCATATTTGAGACCTAGATTTGCTGGATTCTTAAGAAGAACTATACTTATTTTAGAGGGGAATGGATGAACATTGGAATATCGATATACTAATAGTCGGATGTTGTGTTTTATATTTAATTTTTCAGTACATGTACATATTACGATAGATATTTCAATTATGTATTAGCTGTTATTTCATGGCTGCATAACCTGTAATAATAAAATCTGTTCAACCAAAATGCGATGTTTTTTTTAAGTTCATAGCTTTAACATTTAATTATCAAACAGTTGAAATGAGTGAAATTTGAGACTTTCACCACTTCCAGATCAAGATAAAAAATTTAAAAAATATATTTAGTCACAGTCCAGCAAAATTTAAGTCCATGATAAAACTGTTGAAAGAAATACAATACTGCACAAAACATAGTATACACAAAACTAAAGAATACCCACTAAAATCCTGGATGAAAGCATACGCTACAGAAGTGTATTAAGTTTCTGTTTTGCTATTATGGCACAAGTCGTGCTGCTCCAGACAAGGTAACTCCGATCATAAGTTAAATTTGATGAAATAATGAACAGTGGCCAATACAAATGAATCATATAAATAGTTCTCTTTGATGAAGATATTCCATGACTTATAATCGAAGTCATGATATTCGATGGCACCCGTAAAACTTTCTAAGAGATTACTTCTCAAAACTATTCATTAATCAATCTACTACACCACCGTCCTAAATTATGAGGAGGGTTGAGCGCTACAAAAACATGTTCTATTTATGTGTCTGTGCGACGTCATGACCCTGTAATTCAGTGGTTCTCTTTGTTTGTTGTTTATCATGTATGTATTTTGTTTATTGTTGTCATGATAAATCAGACTGTTGGTTTTCTCTTTTGAATTGATTCACATTATTTCATGCTATGACCTATACGATATGCGTTTTGTTCATTGTTTAAGGCCGTGTAGTGATCTATAATTGTTTACATCCTCTCGTTCTTTGGTCTCTGGTGGATAGTTGCCTCGTTGGCTTTTCATACCACATTTCCTTATCTTTATATTCATATTCACAAGTATAGTAATAAACCACTGGACATTCGTAATAACCAAGAACAGTTTTGAACTAAGTGATCGAAACACCAATTCTGCCAAATAGCTGATGGTAGAGTTGCGCCACATTAGTACATTACTAGATTGGTTGATTGATAATTGATTGGTTTTTAACTCCACTTTCAGCACTATTGTGCTATTTCGTGGCGGCTAGATTTTATTGGTGGAGGTAGCAAGAGTGCCCGGAGAGCCCAGAGAGAACCACCAACCTTCGGTAGGGAAACTGACAATCCTATTCAATTACGATTTGAGTCGAGCGCACCTGCCACGTGCATGATTCGAAGTTACAACCTCAGTGTTGAAAGGCTAGTGATACAGTAGTTAGACTTCTTAGACCACTTGTCCACCACCGAGGCCCCTACATCATTGAAAGTACATTGACAAAACTTAAAGAGTTAAATCAGTTGCAACCTAAACTTTGCCAAATGATTGAAAATCAAACATCATCATCGGGTGAAACCGTTGTAAAGATATGATTTTTCATGTTTTTGAAAATTCAATCATGTCATATAAATCTGGACACATGTATAAAGATGAGATACCGCTTCAGTATAGGTCTCACAAGTTTATCCTGAAAGCATACAATGTAATAGATTTAAAAACTCACAATAGAAAAATTATTAATTTAAATAATATTTTGTTACATAACAAAGTTTCCTTACCAAAACACGGAATTTGAACACGAATTTAGCATACAACAAATGTCAACTTGATCTTTAGAATGTCATTTTGTGAAGTTATCAACATTCGTGAAAGGACATAACACTGTAGGCTTATGTATCAGGTTTGTCCCAGCATTTACACTGGGATTCCAAAACTTCGGAATATGTTCGAAACTATGGAGGGATTTTCTACAAAAAAATTTTACAATATGTTTTATGAAATTTATGAAATTGGGATACCAAAGGCAAAATCCTTGTACTTTTCAAGTTTTTGATCAGGTCCTTTGTTCTGTTGTATAACATTTGATTGCATTTCATGTTTTTAAAAGGCAAATTAAACAAACGGAACTCAATCGTAATAGAATCTCTTTGCTGTCTCATAATGACGTAATAGCATGATTTTCTAATTTGCCACGATCTTAGAAAAGTCTGTTAAAGCTAGTTCACACTGCCGATCAGATCAAGTCGATCAAGCCCGATCACAGATTAAGCGATCGGGAGACTGGTCTGACTCGTTCGACAAGAATGTTCGGGGTGGTCTACCTTGCTCGTCATCGATCTAACTTTCTACCAGAGAATTCTTGACATGTCAAAAAAATTCGAGTAAGGATCGAGAAGCCAGTCACTCGAGAAGAGATCTGGAATTCGTCGAGTAGCGATCGAATCGATCGGGAAGGGATCGTGTAGAGATCGAGTTTGGTCGGAATACAAATATTTTAAAGATCAGTACTCGATCATCTCGACCGTTGCTCGACTAATATCCGATCGTTTCTCGATCAACGCCATCCTGTTTGATCTGTGGTCCAGATTAACTCGACCAATGCCCGATCTCTTTCCGATCAATGCGACTACTATTATCTTTGAACCCAGTCCAACTCGACCAATTACCGATCTCTACTACCAAATTCGACCACTTTTCGATCTCTACTCGGTTATACACGAGTACACATGACTGCTACAAGATTCTATAAAAGAAATGCATATCTGATTAACTCTCATAACTTGCTTCCGCAAAAATATATTGTCACTGTTTTTTTTAACTGTACAAAAGATTTAACTCCTCAAAAATTCCTCCATGTACAGGACTTGGGTGTACTTTTGCAAGGAGGGTTAACATTTTAAAAGAGAGGCGAAAAATACCAAAGGAAAAATCAAACCCAAAGGTAGAAAACAAATCGACACAGCCATGGCAAAACGACGACAAGACAAACAGCAGTCCACATAACACAACATAGAAAACTAAAAACTTAGCAACACGAAACATTACAAATACACGTTGCACCCGAGTTATTGTTTAACATAAGTACCAATCCGGTGACAAGTCTCATTTGGTGGTGTCATTTTCAAGAACAGTAAATTTTATAAATAAGAAAATACAAACGGTTCAAATTATTTATGAAACGACGAAAAAGGCAATACATATACTAAAGCTTAAGGCATACAACAAAACCAGGTTCAACCCACCATTTTTTTTCTTAAAATGTCCTGTACCAAGTCAGGAAAATGGCCATTGTTATATTATAGTTCGTTTCTGTATGTGTTACATTTTAATGTTGTATTTTGTTGTGTCGTTGTTCTCCTCTTATATTTGATGCGTTTCCCTCAGTTTTAGTTTGTAACCCGGATTTGTTTTTATCTCTATCGATTTATGAGTTTCGAACAGCGGTATACTACTGTTGCCTTTATTTAAGTTCAACTTTAAACTAAGCAAAATATAATTATTTTATTTCAAAACAATCTTGACAATTTTATAACACATGAGAACAAGATGTCACACTAAAATAACTACATCAGCGGTTTTACGGTGAAACAACATGTAACTGTATAATAACATGGATGAACTAAATCATACACTCTTACCTCTCAACTGAACCTGCTGGTGAATTGAAAAATAGTGCTTAAGATAGCCTCGGTTCGGCTACGTCTGGAGTATGGCTTCATCCAGGTTCTCAATTGGAATGCATCATATTCGATCATGAGGTATGGGGTGTTCTTCTTATCTCCGGGCAGTGGACGTTTTCCTCAGTCAAAGTCTTTCGTTCAGAATGGTTGAAGAGTTGAGCGTCAGACGCACTTCCATTTGCACCAACATTGACCCATATGAACTTGTAGTCTGCGTCGACGAGGGCCAGTAGTGTGATTGGGAAAAATCCTTTGTAGTTGCAGTACAGTGTTATGTACCAGAGTCCTTTGGAAATTTTATCCTCACGTGCTTGCCATCTAGTGCTCCACATGCACGAGGAACGTTCCACTTGGCTTGGAAGTCATCGACAATCTGCTGTCACTGTTCGGATGTGACGATGGCTGGCGTCACCTCTTCCGAGTACTCATGTATTATAGCTTACAATACTTTCGAAATGAACAAGCTTATGGTGTTTTATCTACTCGAAATGAATACATAAGCTCTGCATAAAAAAGCGCTATTTACGAGATGGCAAAGGGTGACAGCCAATTTCAGTCAAGGCTGTAAGACTTCTCTGAAATATAAAAAAAGTTAAAAAACTTTTAAATGTCATTCCTGCAATAACATTATAATTTTACCTTGCTTTCATTCAGATAAACTATTTTAATTTTACCTCGCTTTCATTTGGATTAAATTATCAATGCATAAACATGTCAATTCGCATAAAATTATTGTTATGTATTTCATTTGTGAGATATGGTTTAAAAACTCCCATATCATATCAGCGTCCACTCTGAGGAAATTTTATAACCTCTCTGTTGAGCTCCTGCAACATTCTCTCATAGTGCCCATACAGTGGTCGCCGTGTTAGCCACTACCTCATCTAGATTTCTCGGTGCCTTCTTGTTTGCGGTCTCTTCAAGCTCTGTCACAACTATTAACTTGTTTTTCTGGAGCTCTAACTACCTTGCCCTAAATTCAACTGCTCTATTTCCATGTAGATATTTTAAATGTATGATTTTACTCAGACCTTCCGTGAACTACTGAATGATAACCAAATAAATAGAGAATGGATAATGCCCCCGCTTGCATACAACGTTATAAAGGGGAATAACTCAGGAACGGTAAAAGTGACGCCACTCAAATTTGAACTTGATCTGTGTTTAATTATAATAAGCATTGTGTATAAGTCTCATAACATTTGGTTGGGGGCAAACTAAAGTAAGAGAACGAAAACTAATTTTTGGGACGTACGTACGTACGGACGGACAGGGGTAACAACTTATGCCCCCTTCGCTGCGGCGGGGCAAAAAATAATAGTAGCTTGTGGAGTAAAGATCATGTAGAGATCGTGAATTGGTCGGAATAATCGAATATGTATTCAATTAGTGGTCGGGTTGGACTCGTGAAGGGGTTATTAAGGAGTCGTGAATGGTCGAGTTAAAGTCGTGTACAGTCGGATAGCGGTTGGGTAGAAGTCGTAAACAGGTTCGATAAAGAATTTGGTTACGCTTGGTCGTGGTAATTTGGGCAATCGGGATCATCGAGTTGATCTGATCGGCAGTGTGAACCTAGCTTTACAGAGTGTGTTTGGTGTTACGTGCTCAAACTGTGTCCAATAATGTTTTGTGTTTTATGTCCTGTTGTGTTCAATATCCTGTTATGTTTTATGTCCTATTACTTCCCTACGACATTGGCGACAAACTGATCATCAGCACTAGGAAATATTTTTACTAATACATTACGCAGAACGTCCATGTAATTGTTGATTAGTTTCAAATACATTACAATCAACATTACAAGTGCAAATTCAAGAAGAAAAGTTCTAGTCTTAACTTTACTTGCGTGAACTACAAATCTTTACAACATTTAAGAAAATAATAAGATGTATAAAAAATATGCATGATTGAAATTACCATTTAAATTATGCAGATCTATAAATAATTTGAATTTTACCAATACAAGTTTTTTTTGTTGGGTTATCAAATTATATATTTTAAAATTCAATGCAACCGACTTGAGTTCTTATTTAAAAACTTAACCTGCATATATCTTGACTCTTTTTAAAGTAGAAAGGACTTAAACAGCTGTAATAGGATTATATATATATATAGGAAATTTAGTTTAAACATAATTCACAGGAACTTCCTTTTAACAGTGTTATATGATATACAGTATTTTACATATATGATACATGTGATAATAGTAGTTTGAAAAATTATAAATGGAAACAAACAGTTTACAAAATGCAAATACAATGAATGATGACAGGAATTGTGTTTTTCTCAGACATTACATTGCAAATGTATTTGGACTTTTTGTAAATTTTATGTTTTTTAATTCTTTCATGTTCTGTCATTTTTGAAAATTACAATCATGGAAGTAATACCAACGTTGTATAGAAGTTGTAAGTTTGACAACTTGCCGCTTATTGTGGCGACTGCATATACCTTGGTGATGGATGTAATTCTTCTGTCTAAACTGTAAGGTAAGATGATTTCTGTCTATGCTGTACCTAAGAAAAAGAAGAGTTCTTTCTATACTGTTACTAAGAAGTTAAAAGAGGAGGACGAACTGAGCATGACATTCATTCCGATATTTTTTGTTGTTTGCTGTACCAAAAATAAAAAGTTGATTCCAAAACATATTTGAATGTCCCTTTGGTATCTTTTGCCTTTGTTTTGTAACTAATTTCTAGCGCTAAATTCTTACTTGTCTGATTGAGTATTGTTGTTTGTATGGATTCGAACGTTATTGGACATGAACGCTCAAGTGTGTATGTGTGTGTGTGTGGGGGGGGGGGGGGGGCACTCTTACTATATAATGAATAGTAGGGCTGAGCCCCTGGAACATATCACTATTTTCCAATATACATGCGTATAACTACTTATTCCAATTTTAGTATGCCAGTGACACTCCGAACTTGATAATCTATATACAAGGAAAACAATAATTAGATTGTGTTTTGTATGACATGTTTATGTTTTTAATGATATGCATATAGGCAAATACATATTAAACACATTATTATTGATTTCAAATACAGATTATATAATGTAAGATTTATCAATTTTCAGTAAACACAACTTACAAGGTTCCAGGTATTTGAAATGAAAGTAAAACATTCGAGTTGAATATTTACCTGGAAGTTTGATCACACAGAAAATTTTGATGCAAGCTTCATGATTTTATTAATTAGTTTAGGGGAAATCCTATGATGTATATATGACATTAGGTACAAATAAAATAGATGCAATGAGGCCTTGTGGTGCCAACAGACGATAAACCAATACTGCATGTTGAAGGGAATGTAGAATCGGCAAAGTGCCCGAAATTTATGAAATAATTCAATGGTACAATAAAGGTGTTGACACTATCACACATCGTATAATAGTTAAATATAGATACATGTTCGAGAGGAATGGGTGGTGCGTGATCGTTGGAAACAAAATAGTGATATGTAAATAAAATTAGCATTTCTAAATGTATTTGTTGGAATACGCTCAACGCTCAAAGCTCTGTTTCTTCTTCTGATAACAATAGTTAAAATCATTTTCAAATGATAATACGACAGTCGCATGAAATACTTAAAAAAACAAAAAATTTTATTTGTTATTATTGAAAGAGATACAAAAGTATTTTGATCTTAACATTTTAAAATGGGCTGTTTTCCATTATTTGAAAAATTCTTTCACATGATTTTTAAAATTGCCTTTTCACCCTAATTTACAATTCTATTATTCGTACATAATTACAATTTTAGAGATGGATCAGACATAACAGACGGAGATGTTATAGCTATAGTGGTGATGCTAACATTCACAGCAGGTATCCTGATATTGGACGCGTATTTCATGTTTGCAAAGGAAAAGCGTTCAAGGAAATTCGTACGTTTATCAGTGTTTTGAAAAATTATATTTGAAATAATAATTGATTGAAATAATATCATAAACAAATTACGGCAGATGAAATTTATCAACAAATTTCTATTAACCACTTTCATACCAATCCTATTTTTTTTATTTTTCTGCTTGTCTACGTTATATTCTGTTTTATCAATATACGTTCTCATTCATTGTCATTTTCATATCATTAATTTTGAATAATTGTGTATATTAAAGTACTATTTTAATTTTTGTAGAATGCAAAGCGTGACTATACAGTCAACAAAGAAGACGTTGTATTTGTTAAAAGTAAGGACAACAAAGAAATAAAGATCCTCTAAACTGAACATATAACTTAACGTATGTTGCTTACGTATTCTACAAAAAGGAAGATTTAAATCAATTCAAAAGTAAAAGAATATGATATGAGCACTGAATAAAGTTGCACTCTTCACTAAAAGCAGATTAGAGGTCACTGTCAAAACAGGTCTTCAACAATGTATTAGTGTCCATCCAATTTGTCGAGCTCTATATTGCCTTCTCTCTTTATAAGTTGCGAACATGTATAACATATAAGTGAGGCTGCCTATTTTTTCAATCTTCATGAAAATAAAACAAAATGTACGAATAAACAATCAAACAACCGACATGTTTAACCCTGTTAATTCTATAGACGCTAACTTATAGTCTCTATATCACTGAGAGTCAAGAAAAGTAGTGATAACTGTACAGAACCCACCATCAAATATAGGCCATAACACCGAAAGTACGAACAATACAAAAGACATAACAACACAAATTTTTAACTTAGGACGAGTGTTTAAGGTCTTCTCGATTTGAATAAATGTCGAGCTGTTTTTTTTTCTCTGCTCGCTTAAGTCTAGTCATTAGTTGCTAATGTTGTCTATTACACTAAAATTTACTCTTTGCAGCTTTTGAAAAAAGTATTTGTAAATACGCAAAAGGTAAAGAACCTAGAGCGTTTGTTCCAACATGTACTGAAACTAAGAAGGGTATTGAATGGAGGCTTATTGTTCCTCAAAATAATCAGGACAAAGGTATTGTGACTTTCTCAGTTTGTTTTGTTTCTAAGCCAAAATACCATAGTTTTTATGTTATGTTACAAACTCTGATTCAAGTAATTAATATACATGAACACAGAATGACAAAATTAGTATTTACAAAAGCATTCATTTACAGAACAGGCAAAACTAGTAATCAATCAAAATTTAGAAAGTGTATCAAAACTACAATAAAAATTATGCTTTTACAAATTTCACTCAAATTCCAAAAATAATGTGAAATATATTTCCATATTTACCCGTAATTATATATATGTCAATTTAAAAAGTACACGTTACATCCCACTCTCCTATACTGTTGTACACTTTATCACTTTTCTCTGTCGTTATTTTTCGAAAATGATATTTTCTATCTACATTATCCCGATTATTGATGTGAAAAACTACACGTTAGTTAGCTCGTAATAATATAAATGAAGGAAGTGGTGTAATATACTTTATGACAGACACCCCTTACACAAACTTTACAAAACTAAAAACGAAGAAATCTAACAAATACCGTAATAATTTGCACAACAATTTCGTTGTGAATACAAACACAATTCAAACATTTTGAACTGTCAAAACGAGGCACATCAATATATTTCTCAGAGAGCTTGGCATAATATAAATGTATAAATATGGAAATTGACACAGAAAGACAACATAATAAATTCGATAAACACAGAAAGAGTAAAAGTAAAGTACTATATATAAGAGAAGTTATCTAAAGAATTATAGAAATTTGCATAACACCTATTGTGACCTACTATGGATACTCTTGTGCATAAGAGATTTATTAATCTTTGTTATACAATTTTGGTTGGAATTCGTTTACATTTACCACTGCCTTCTCACAGTGTACTATGTCGACTTAAACGTCATTTGTATTTCATTTTCTTTTTAGTGCCGATAAGCCAGGTTTAACAAGGAATATACGATGGAGAGTTCACTGTCAAATTTTGTAAAATTAACCTTTCCTTACATTTCAGATGTTATTGTGAAAATTTCAATGTTGAAATTAATTGTGATTTCTTTTATGCGTACATTTTCAGTTTTACACTAACATGTCATAAGTACAGATATGGTGTTAATCAATTATTGAAACAAGTACAACCGTAGTCCGCTTTTTATTTTTTTTTATCACAAACAACCCTTTATCAATGTCAAATATTTTAGATGATAAGGAAGCTCGATCTTATAGAGGAATAGCCCTTGCTTCTGTATCATATAAGCTATATTGTACGATTCTTAATGATCGACTCCCAGAAAGGGTAGATGATAATGATTTGTTGGTAGATTAACAGAATGGGTTCCGTAAGGGTAGAATCACCATTGACCATAATGCATCTCTCGCGAATATGATAGAAGTACGTAAAAAGTTTAAGGAAGTCAACACATTGTGCCTTCATCGACTTCAAAAATGCATATGACAGCATAAGACACATAAAGAGAATTTACCGACTGCCCCTTTATACCTATTGTTCACATAATATTAGAGAAACTACTCATGTTAACTTCTTTATTGTTATTAAATAACTCAACATTATTTGAAATATTTTAGAAATTTTAACTCTCTAAAATCAAAATTTATCCCCAAAAATTAAGAAAAGGAAAAAAGAGGGCTCAATATCCAAGCCACGTCTGTGAATTAAACAGTTGATTTCATTTTTAACAGTTCATTTAAATCGTTCTTGGAGTTATTTTCTGAAGTCGACATATTGTGTTTCGTAAGGATAAATTAATAATGTCCATGTAAGAAATGATTTTACTATCATTCTAACTTGTGAGCAAAATTCACTCTTTTTGGTTAATCATGTAACAATGATTATCATATGTTTAAATCATGTAAGTTAAAATTTTCATTTTTATAAACTGTTTATTTCACGACACCTTGAAATGTCACATGAAATCCAGGTATAGCAACATGATTGGTCCAAACTTTTAGAAAGTAAAACAGATTCAAAAACGTAGAAAAAATACATATTGATTTTTGTAAAAGAATTTTGAATGTTAAAACAAGTACACCGAATGTCATGGTTTATTATGAACTTGGCAGATTTCCAATGTAAGTAACCAGGAAATTGCGTATATTTAAATATTGGATTAAGGTATTGAATAATAACAATTGTATATTACTTGGTTGTTACAATTATTTATATGATATGTGTTTGAAGAATCCGAATGACAAAAATAACTGGATTTGTAATATACGAAAGGAATTGTTCCACCTTGGTTTAAATGATCTGTGGTATTCACAAAATTCTTTATGTAAAGATCATATTATGGTTATTAAACAGAGACTATGCGATATTGTCAAACAAGAGTTTGATGCTACTTTAGATAGTTCATCAAAAATGTTTTTTGTATAGATATATGATATCCAATTTTTCTTTGCAGTCATATTTATGTAAACCAATACCCGAAATTTACAAAAAGTGTATTGTTAAATTTAGATTGTAATCACATAATCTAGCTATAGAGAAGAGAAGGTATTCTAATGTAAAAAGAAACCTTAGAACCTGTACATTGTGTATTGATGATATTGAGGATGAAATGCATTTTATTTTATCATGTCCTTTATATTCAAATTTGCGTGAATGTTTGATAAAACCATATTATTGGCGTAAGCCATCTGCTTATAAACCTTTACAATTATTAAGCACTACTAATGTAAAAGACTTGTGCAACTTAGGAAAATATATATTTAGAGCACTGAAGCTCAGAAATAACTGTTTTCAGTAAGTTGATTTGTAATTCATTTGTTACATATATTTGCTTTTTGGAATTATATTCATATGTATTTATTTTTTGTGTATTTAATACGTCTGTATGTTTTGTCATGATCGTATAATTTTGTAATCTATATTTAGTATATATTGATTATACATGTACCTATATGTTGTAAAACATTTGGTTAATAAAGAATTGTATCATATAACAAAAGATTAATATCAGAATTTAAAAGTCTTTCTAACAATAGTTAACTCCGAACTTTAATTGGCATCACTAGCGGATACCTCCCTAGCTCTGTTCGCACTATTTGATAAAGATTTCCTCGTTCCAAGGATATACTTACAAAAAGACAAATATAACTTTTTCAAGCATAATATAGCTGTGAATGTAATAAGGTTATATTTATTTGATATCTTTGAACGTTGATCTACTCTATGTTTTGAAATATATGTGCCCATATAATGCAATTTATGTACGTTGTTTCGGTCTGACTGAAGAGTCAAAAATGTTCAACGCTACTTTTACTGACACATAATGTAAAGAATAAAATTTTAATGGTGTTCTGTTTAAAATAAATATATGTTGTGTTATTGTACATAGGCTTTGTTTTTTACGTAGCTAATATTTCTACAGTCTTTAGTTTACTTTTGTGATCTTCAAACATTTACAATATTAATAAAAATGATAAAAAGTTAGAAGTATGCAAGTTTGAAAGTACCACTTAAATTGGAAAGATCCATAAATAATTTCAATACAAGTTGTTTTTGTTGGATTATCAAATTGAATATTTTAAAATGCAGTGCAACCAACGGGATGTCGGCTTATCTTAGCATATACGGACATATTTCAAATTGAAGTGATTTCAATAATCACTTAAATATAATAATCGATATAGGAAATTTAGTTGAAATGTAAACAGGAACTTCGCCGTAACTGTGTTATAATCAATGTTTTAACTATACAGCTAGGATTCTATTTCGTCAATATTGTCGCAACCTATTACGCAACCTTAATTTTTTCAATAGACTATTTTCATATTACCGACTTTTGACTCCGGAGTTTAGATGTTTTCGACAGGTTACCTTCTTTCTGGTAAGTCATCCTGGTACTCGGTCAACTAAGAGCAACGTAAAAAAAGCAAAATCAAGCTTCCAATTGGTACAATTTTTTTGAGGAAATAAACGGTTTTATGTTGACATTATACAACAAAATAATCAGAAACAGTTACATTTTCCCCCCAGAGTGCACATATTATATGTTTGATTTTACTTCTTTTGGTTGCTCTTACTTGACTTAGTACCAGGATGTCCAACCTCAGATTAGGAAACCTGTCGAAAAATTATATAATCCGGAGTCAAAAGTCGGTAATATGAAAAGGTCTATTGTAAAAATGGAAGCCATTGTTGAGATAACGCGCTGTCAATTAAGCTCTTGAAAACCGATAAATTTATTCACATAGTATCATTTCGATCCTTACATGCCAGGTGTATTTTTAAAGACAAATGTATCAACTAGCTATTAAGCACAATTTAGTGTACTTTTCGGCCTTTTGTCAACTTCAAACTAATGTCTGATCGGTTGTCAGGGAGAATTTTTGAAAGTCGAAATAAAAATAACAGCTTGAAAACAATATTAATGGACACAAACAGTACACAAAATGCAAATACAATGAATGACAAAAATTGTGTTTTTCTCAGAATTTATTTGGGGCCTTTTGTGAATTTTAGTTTTTTTATTCTTTTTTTGTGTGTTTTGTTTTGTTTCAAAATTTCAATTATGAAAGTAATACCATCTTTATATGAAAATTGCAAATTTAATAACTTGACGCTTATTGTGGCGACTGCATTCAACTTGGTCATGGCCGTAATTCTTCAGTCTTTACTGTTAAAACATAGATGAGAAGAGTATTTTTACTGGGCATACAAAAGAGTTCTGTCTGTACTGTCAATATAGATTTATTTTGTGCTTTATCAAATAAACTCATCATAGATACCAGGATTAAAATTTTGTACGCGCGTCTACAAAAGACTCATCAGTGACGCACGAATCAAAAAAGTTAAAAAGGCCAAACAAAATACGAAGTTATAGAGCATTAAGGTCTTAGGACCCAAACTTCCGAAAGGTTTGGTCAAATACAGCTAAGGTAATAAATAGACAATTGCTTCAAAAATAAATTCAACACTTTTTTATTTTCGTGTTTATTTTGCACTAGATATTGCGCGACATATATTTGATAATGATAAAACACAAACAAAATCAAATCGAATTGATAAGTAAGAAACAGAAAAAAAATGCAGGAAACTTTTACCTGGTGTATAGAAATATGTTCCAGTTTCTCCGTCTGAGAGGTACGGCTGTCCTGCAAGGACTGTCTATTTGGCTATGCGGGATGTTTAGAGATAAGATGCCATGTCCTGTCCGGCCGGGATGCGGACATTAAATAATACCCGTGCAATGAGAGTTTCACGCTGCGCTCATGTTGAATAACCCCTACAGCAACTCTTTAAGGGATCCGTATTTCCAAAGGAGAGTGATGTAAACAACTACAGAACAGCGGATTGCTTATAACAAAAAGTAGAACCCAAGCTGCTTTGTAAAGACATTTACCAGTACCGACATTGCTGCACTAGACGCGCATTTCAGCAAAAAATGTCTCTTCAGTGTCGTTGAGGCCAAAATATTGGTTAATCTAAAATCTAAATCCAACTTTAAAGGCTTAGAAAACCAAAAAGGACCAAACATATAGTAGAATACGAAAAAGAAGTCAGAACTTTGTACAATGGAGATTGATTCCTTCATTCCAAATGTTTTTCTTTGTTAAATCACTACCTATGAGTACCGTGCTATTTGAGTTATGATGCACTCGAAGACTAATAGTCCACCAGCACATCTATTGGCAAAGTGGTAGTCAATAACATTAAATGGTACCAACGGTACTGAACCACACGACATTTCGATATGTCCTGTCACATCAATACTGGTCGAGTTCAAAATACTTGTAAATCAAAAACCTATTACAAACGTTTCATATCTGATCAAACCGAAAAGAACTAAACGCATTGTCAAAAGCTGAAGTTGAATTACGTTCTATATTCCTTTCTACTGTATATGGTGTATAGGGCACTCCAAATTGCACCGATTGTAAGCTTGATTTTACTTCTTTTAGTTGCTCTCACCTGACATAGTACCATAACGTCCTACCACAGAGAATGTAACCTGTCGAAAAATTATATAAATCGGAGTCAAAAGTCGGTTATATGAAAATATCGTATTAATTGTTTACAAAAATGTCGCAATTGCTAAAGATTCTTAATTCATTTGGCATTTGAGTAATATTTGTAATGCCAAATGATTGCTCTAAGTGTCTTATTCCGTAATCCTTTATCTTCATTGCATCATTTTCTTACTATCTTAGGCACACCTTAGAATACCACTAATATAAAGTTCAAATTTCAACTGTAAAAACTGCTTATTTATAATTGGTCGTTATAACAGTGGGTAGCTAACGCCTAGTTCAATATTTGTGGATCCAACATAGTTAAATCCGCGACCTTGTGCATTTAATGGACCACCTTCCAACCAGTGACCTTTGAAAATACGGAAAACCAAGAGTCAGATCAATTAAGAACTGTATTGTTTGTTTAATAGTAACTTTGTGACCTGGTGCAATTTTCAAACGTGACCTTGTGACATATGGAGAAACCCTATACTGGAGCCCCATTTTGGACAAAGAGCGGTATCATTTTGAGCATTTGGTATTAAACCAGTTATTCATTATTTCTCTTTTTCGGGGATAAGGAAAGTGTCTCAAAATTGTGCCGTCCTTTGCGTTTACAATTTTTACAAACGGAGTCTAATCTTGGTTACTTTGAAATTCTTCTATAATCTTCATTTTGTTTGAGATATATGACCAATAACCATACACTCTCTTAATTATCGTGCGTTGAAATCAAAGTACTGTTTGCTGTATACATAAGTTTAAAAACATATTCCAATTATAGTATGCTCTGACTTAAACTACATACATTGAACAAAATATTAAAATTGCACGTGTATAACAATGTTTAGGTTTTTAATGGTATCTACATTTATCGGTTAGTCTATGAAAAGGTATGTACTATGAAATTTAGAGCGAGGGCTTGTCCCGAGCACTTAATTTCATAGTATATACCTTTTCATAGACTATCCAATTTAGCACATATTTACAACTCAAGTATTCTTTTGATTAATTTATTGATAGTTTATTTTGGCTGACTTCTTGTAGCACAGGTGTTTATAAAACGGAGTTCGTTACCTGATTTTATGTTTTGTAAATTTACTCGGTATCATAGCTATCATATTTGTTCACTTTGTGACAATGATTTACAAGATCATGAGTTTATAAATGCAGGAAACACGAATTTGGAAAATAGCGGTTTATAAATCAATCTCACATAAAAATATGTGATTTTAAAAGGCCCTTGACTCCAGAATGAAAAGATGGTCGCTACTGGTGTAAGTATGTATATCGATATATAGCGGTGTCTTTCTACATGCACGTATTTACATGGTAAGATGACAAAATAAATTGACCAAAAACAGACATATATAATTGTATTAAAGTAGGAGCTTTGCATGTTTAGAAAAAAAAATCAAGTTCACAGTAAAACTAAAGCTATCATAAATTTGAAAAATATAGATATATGTGCCATAGATAGTTGAGCGGTAAGGTATTAAAAGGCCACCAGTAGGTCAATTTGAAAGATTATATTTTTTTTTTTTCATTTCAAAGTAAAAACTAAAAGCTTTATCATAATATAGATATAGATTGCACATTCCCTTCAGAAATTATCACGGGTTTTCAATTTATAATGAAATGGATCAAATTCCTTTTATAACAAAGTTGAAAAAAATCATCATTGAGTTAGCTTAACTTCCTTTCACAATGTTTTATAGTACATTCTATTTTGTGTACAAAGTGATTGCATGGGTGATAACTTACCAAAATCATAAGATAGCGTCGTACTATAATTAAAGTATTTAGGACCATATTTGTTAGTCTTTATTTAAATGATGAAACTTGCAATTTAAAAAAAAAAAAAATTTTAAGACCAAAGATTTTAATAACTGGATATATATAAATCAAAGTGAAAACTAATTACAATAAAATTGAAAATGGAAACGGGGAATGTGTCAAAGAGACAACAACTCGACAAATGAGCAGAAAACAGCTCAACGCCACCAATGGGTCTTCAACACAGCGAGAAAATCCCGCACCCGGAGGCGCCTCAACAAAAATGTATACTAGTTCAGAGAAAATGGACGTCACACTAAACTCCGGAACATATAAATGAAGCAAAATAAAAAAAAACATACAAGACTAACAATGAGGTTCCTGACTTGGGACAGGCGCAAAACTGCGGCGGGGTTAAACATGTTTTGTGAGATCTCAACCCTCCCCCTATACCTCTAGCCAATGTAGAATAAACAATTACACAGCAATACGCACAGTTAAACTCAGTTAAAAAGAAGTCCGAGTACGATGTTATAATAGGTAACAGAAGAAACTAAGCAAAATGACAATGATTAGCATAAATTAACAAAGGACCACTAGCAGTTACTGACATGCCAGCTCCAGACCTCAATTAAACTGATTGAAAGATGATGTCTTCTACATATGAAAATCAAGCACAATCCCTCCTGTTAGGGGTTTAGTATCATACCATCATAAAATATACGAGAACATAACCCGTATCTTGCCAACAACTGGATTTAGAATAAATGTGTTTATTTCCGATGCAAAGACCCTATGAGTGAATCACTACTAATTCCAAAAAATGCCATCTTTATTGACCTGACAACAGTATCGTAACTATATCCCTTCTGAATAAGTCTGTTTAAAGGTTTGGTTAGCTTTTGAGGTGAATGACAACATTTTTGTACCCTGTATAGAATATTACCATAAAAGATGGGATGTGAAATACCTGAACGTATAAGATGTATGCACGTTGATTTATATTTACAAATGATGTCCTTGTACCGATGATAAGATTTAGTTAATGTTTGACAAGTTTGTGATATCGAAAACCCTGGGTAATAATTTTTCAGTAATACAGAGATTTCTTTCGTTAAAATCAAATACGTTTTTACATACACGAACCAATCGAACAAGCTGAGATATATAAACACCGTAAGATGGATGACAAGGGAACGTCACTATCTAAAAATGAATAATTAACAATAGGAAATGAAAATCATTTCTTTTATCGTAAATTTTGGTATTAAGCTCCCGTTAAAGATATAGATATCAAGATAAAGGAAAGGAAAGGAAAGGGCAGTGTTCATTGTTAGTATTTTCTTAATCTAAACTTAGTTCAGCAGGATAAATCTTGTTTTCAAATTTGGGACACATAATTTTATTCTGAAATCCCCAGTGGCAATTTTTGTTTTTAATATTTTGATTACGATACAATGAAATCTTACCCTTGTGGTCATTCATGCATAGTTACTTAGTAAACGGAAAAAGTATGTACTATGAAACTTAGAAGGCAAATTCAAGCAATTTGATTGGACGAGAAGTTGTAAGTATGTGCTAAACTAGTTTTGTTTTTCGTAAATTGTTTTGTTATAAATTAGGCCGTTAGTTTTCTCAATTGAATTGTTAAATAATTTTCATTTTGGGACCTTTTATAGCCGACTATATGGTATGGGTTTTTCTCATTTTTGAAGGCCGTACTGTTGCCTATAATTGCTTAAATGAACTTTGGTAGATAGTTGTTTCATTGGCAATCATCCAAATCTCCTTATTTTTATATACATATATATTTAACCACTTTATAGTGAATGAATTGTTTATTGTACGTTAACACAACTCCCAAAGTTTCAAGATGTAAAACCTTTAATTTGAATATTTACCTGAAATGTAGGTCAAACAGAATACAAAGCAAATTTTGAAACAGGCTTACTGTTTTGTTTAATTAGTCCATGAAAATACCTATGATGCAAACATACAGTTCTATAAATAAAATAGGTGCAGTAAGGCCGTATTGTGCCAAAAAATTGAACAACATAAATCAATAATACTGCATGTTGATCTTATCAATTCGTTAGCTTGAAACGAATTTAGAACCGAAAGAATTGTTAGAAAATCAGAAATGGCAAAGTGCCTGTAAAGTGTTGTAAGAAATTACGGAAAATATAGATTTGTCGAAACCAGCAAGCATCGTTTTACATTTCAAATCTAACAATCCAAAAAAGAGACAAAAGATACCAAGGGGACATACAAAATTCATGAGTCGAAGAAATACTGACTTGCAAAACTTGGCCAAAAACAAAAATTCGAAAAACGACGAAAAATTCGAGAGATCTGAATCATGCTTATTATATTATATATCACTTTTGTCGTTCGTGTTCATTTACGCCAAACATTTTGCATTTAAATTTGTTTTAAATTTTCAAATGCTCCGCAATTTGTTACTAAATTGTTTTGAAAAAAAGGAAAAAAAGCTTTTGAAGTCAATTCTAATAAATCATTTTCTTTATAAGATAGAAATATGAAATTTTAAATGACATTTAGTTGTTCGGTTTCGCAAGGATATTGAATAATGAAGCTAACATTTAGATAGAAAAAGTTTTAATTTTGAAACAAATCATGAAAAATTAACCAACACATTATTTATTTCATGCGTCCGAAGCGCTTTTCTGGATTAACCTTCATCAGGAACGCTCAAAGCTGAATATTTGAAAGCCAAGGATGTATAAGAACAGAAACAGTTAAGAGCTATATTACCAAAAAGGACCTAAAAAATATTCAAATCCTTCTAAGGTCAACATAAACAAGCATATTTGTTAGTTTTTAAGAATTGTTTTTCAATCTGACTCGTAAAAGCAAATACAACAAAAGTATTGAAATTGCTGAAATAGAATAAAATGTCCATACAAGCTTTCTTTTATTGAGTTGTATATTCATGCATTACGGTAACTGGTCCTCGCATTCATTAAACCTTCCCCGCCTTACCAGTAAATTCGTTATTTATAAAAAGGATTTGTAAGCGCTATGGTGCCGTACCTAACTTTTAGTAAATCTTTGTATTTTACAAGAATATTTCCTGTTGAACAATTATTTGAGAAAAACTTGGAATTTCTTATTATTTGTGAGTGAATATATAGGAATGCATCTTAAACTAGATAGGATATTTAGATACTGGGTAGACACAACTAAAATCTATGTGTATAAAGATACCTCATATTTCCATTTCCATTTTATTCATACAGTATTACGAACGCCTTCACGAGTTTTTTTACCGTTATGGAATATCTGTTTCACAAATGACTACTGATATGTTCCACTTATCCTCGAATGTGACCTCCGAATTTGCACTTGAGCAGCAAGACGGGTGTCACATGTGAAGCAGGATTTGCTTAACCTTCCAGACCACCTGAAATTACCAACGGTTTTTAGAAGGGTTCGTTTTGCTTAGTCTTTTGTTTTTTATGTTTTGTTTTTAGTGTACTGTGGTTTGTCTGTTGGTCGATTTTATTTTTATTGTCTTTTTGTTTTCGAATTATCAATCTTTAAGTTTTTAATACAGTTGAGTATTTCATCTTTTGATATTGGAGAATTAATAATTTTATTTAATTTTATTTTATTGGGGCATTCTTGGTAAATTTTTGTTATTTTCAGCGGACGGAGAAACATTTAAATTTATGAAAAAAATCAAATAATTTAGATATTTTAATATCAGGCTTTCTTTTATATTTATTCAGGATTTGAAATCCTAAATTCTATTGGATTGCCAATTTGTGTATTGTTTATCTTATCCGACAATTGCTTCCTTAATCTTTTATACAACTTTTCGCATTTTTCATATAAAAAAATCCATTGTGTTATGCTCATAAAAATCTCCAGTTTAAAGTGATATAAAGTTTTTAGTACCATATGATTTTGCCAACATCTACAGAGTAGAAAAATAAAAGCATTTACGCGTATGGTTGGGCCATATGAGTATTTACTCGTTTAGTTATTGCCGGGCTGCATCATATGAGTATTTCGACAATATATGAGTTTTTCGAATATGCACGAGCAACGTTTACCAATATTTTTTGCTATTTTTTTCTACTTTTGTGCTTTATATTTAGCAAGTAAGGAACAATACAAGCATGTTCAGGAAATAATAGACAAAAGATATAACTTAAAAGAATATAAAATGCGATGTGTATCTATGGTTTTCTTTATGTTGTAAGAAATATACAAATAAAATGAATATAAAAGAGGTAAGATAACATTATATATGTTGAATAAATGATATATAGCTAGAAATAGATAATATCATGTAAATTGTAATGTTAGATAATTATTTTTAGACAGGCACGATGATGACATAATTGTTTTCTATCACTCCTAATTTAGATTTTTGAGTGAATACAATATTTTACTGGCGTATATTTAAATTTTCAATCCAATAGACAGTGCACGATCTATCTTATTTTCTTTGCATTACTTTATTAATAAATGGTGGTTCATAATCCTCCTTAAAATTATACAAATTGTATTAGTTTTAGATATATTTGTTGTTGAGTAGCTAACAAGCTAAAAAAGACTTCATACATACCACATCTTCTTATTTTAAATATTTGAACTATAACTTCAAGAAATGTCTAAATCAACTGACAAAAACTAAACTGTTTTACTAATGGACGAAACAGTTGACAGGATAAAGACGATTTTAATTGACAATATATTTTAACGTTTTCGTTAATTTATGTTTTAAACTGTCGGTAGGAGTATGGAGCATGAACTGTAAACTGCAACAAATACGCCGCACATATATACTTGTATACGAAAACGGAATATTCCGAGAAGTAAAGTTATTTTAAGTCCGAGTAATCAATAACAACGGACTACTATGACGACGTGAAATTCAAAGATTTATTGCATCATACTTCATTGCATCATTTAAAGCAACAATGCAATACCCAGTTAATAGAAAAGATATGCATGGAAATCATTTGAAAAATTAATCAACGGCAAACAAATAGAATGATGCAATCAGTGCATGTGAATTCATAAAAGATTCTATGTAAAATTATTTCAAACAAGCTTGTAAGAGTTTCACATATAAAACAATATATCATTTTCTCTTATTTTCATATCTCCCTCAATGTATAAACAAATTGCGGGAAACTTGTTGTTCGTAATAATAACTGTCCGTTGTTATTGATTACACGGACTTAAAAATAACTTTGCTTTCGTTTTCGTATACAATTACATATGTGCGGAATTGTTGCTGCAATTTACAGTTAATACTATATATTCATACCGATAGTTTATAAACATAAATTCACGAAAACGTAAAAAGTGTTGTGATATAAAACATTGTTTTTTTAAATTTGAACAATTTTAAGTGGTGACTATATATATTTATTATAAAACAGATCATTTGACATACATACGGTGAAGCGTCATTTGATTTGAATATTCGATTGTACTAGACTATAAACTAAAATAATTTGCAAATGGAAGTTAATCTTGACAAAAAACAAACCGAAATGTGCGCTGACTGTAAACTTGCATTTTCAGATATTGGATCCCAAAAAGGTTTCTTTTTTTTAATGAAATTTCAATTTATTTGGTTTAATACATTTTTGTATTTTTGGTAAAATAAAACAAATATGGAAGATTTGAATTTGACCCTATTCAAAGATTACTGCAACAAGGGAAAGCTTGTATTGCTAACATTGTTCATCTTTATTGTTGATGCAATCATGGTATTGACATTACCGTTTAATAGGTAAGTAGTTAGTTACAAATGAGTCAGAATTTGCGTAACTGAAAAAGTATCATATTTGATTATTTATTTATTTCTGTTATAATTTGATATTTTGGTAAGATTTTGTATATGGTTTTGTTTTTTCTTTCTCATTTTCAAGTTGAATCTATTTGTTTATGTTTGAACCAAGAGAAGTCTTACGTCAGTATTATTTAAAAACATATTGATTATTTTTTTTTTCTTTTTTCCTTTTATTTTGTGACTGCATACACAGATGACGTAATGATTATCTTCGTTCTCGAATCAATATTACGACACAAAAATAAACAAGGTCCTTAGAATGTCTTGAGTGCCAAGAAACTCATTTCTGTCTAATAATGATTCGTTTGTTGTTATTTTTTGCTTCAAATCTTGTTCAATCAATTCAACAGAATTATGTAGTTAGATTTACTGTATTTATTTATATTTAGGGAATATTGATTTAGATACCTAGTTGAAATATCTGAACTATATGTTTTTGAAAAAAAACCTCATCTGATCATGCTACTAAACTATTGTAGTTCCTTTCTTTATCTGTTTAAATGTTAGAAACGTAGGCGGATCCTAACGTAAACAACAACAACGCAAAAACATCAAGGCAGAAAACACGAGGATGTAACTCACTTTATTATCACTGACAGGTCGTACAGGATGGTGTTTTTCATCCAATACGAGTAAGAGATAAGGTTTTACCGTAAACAAATAGAGGGCGTAAAATATAATGCATCTCATTTCAAACAAACAACCCAAAATGAGCATATAATAGGGGACATCTCACTCAAAAAAATATCAATAAGGAGGTGTGCAAATTATTAGATTAAATTCACTAATAATATAATCACTTAGTGGGCACATAGTAATGTGCTTCTCAACTGAAGAATTACCACCAAAAGGGCAAACACCCTCACAGTCCCAGTTGATATCATCAGTTTAATCAAATTTACGTGTTTCGTTTTTGCGAGTTAACAGTTCACAGTTCAACAGAGCTGCAGTGTCAAGGTATTGGATAACATTTTGAATATTTAGCAAATTGTTCTAATACTGTGTGAGCGATTAACAATTTTTTTTTCTGATTACAGTGATGACTGGTCCAGAGTTACAGTTGGGGACAGATTAATTATAGTCCTGATCATAATGTTTACTGTGTGTATCCTGGTAGTAGACATTTATGCAGCAGCAAAAGTTCTACATTCACGGAAATTGGTACGTCAATTTTAATTTATTACATTCAATGTTCATAAGCACTGTGTGTATATATATCTTTCTCTCTTGAAGAGTACAAAGTTTCACTCGTCATAGAATTTGGTTATCGAATGAAATTTTGCATTGCCTCGCAACAATTTATTATGAAAATCACTATACGAACAATTAAATATCCAAATCGTTTAGTAACTATAAGGCAATGATTTCATTTAGTTATTTCTAGGCAGTGAAAGTCGTTGCCTAACCTTCTGTAACCTTGATTAACCGGTGCTATCTTACCGAAATGTATCGGTTAAGCTTTTTTTTTATTCATTTAAAAGATAAAATCGCGATTCAAATATCTTGCTGCTTAGTCTGTTATTCATATTTCATTTTATGACGAGTTTGGGTCAAATATGACAATTGCATGATGTAAACGACGTCAGTGTTAGCCTTATTGAATCGTTTGCACTTATGTTGTCAGATGCTATCATCGATTTGGCAGATATATTGACAAAAAAAACCCCACTTTTTGATGATGTTGATGATGATGATGATTGTTTTTAAATTTAAGTGGTCCATTAATGGTTCCAAAACTACATGCTCTTTTTATTGCCAGTGTTTAAATACATGATTGATCGATCGATTTTTTCTTAACGCCAGTCATTTGACACCTGGACATGTCAAAGGTTTACTTTTTTTTATATATAATCAAATTTGACTTACATTAAACTTTTTCTATGAAATTAGCGTGCCTTTTTCAAACATGTCAGGCTTTAGCAGTTGTTCATTGTTTTTTTTAATCATGTCTGACCTAAACGAAACAGCTTTTTGGACATATCACAATTAAAAGATAATAGGAAAAATTACACATTAGTTTAGAGAGGCGATAGATACCAAAGTGACATTCAATCTCATAAGTCGAAAATAAACTGACAACGTCATGACAAAAAAAAGAAAAAGACCAAAATACAAACAGCAGTATACAATACACAACATAGAAAACTAAAGAATGAGCAACACGAAACCCACCAAAAAAACCGGGGATTTATTCGATAGGTCACATTCGGGGAAAAGAGGAAAAGATTGTAGTTACGACAATAGAAAAAAGAGTTATGAAAATAGAATTGTAGCAGAGCAAAAAAAAAAAAAAAAACTTAAATCCCTTTCTATGTTTGACTCAGAAAAAAAATTGGAGACATAACTGATTTATGACTCCTCAATAATGGCTGGAATCATTATTTCAAGTGTTTCACGGTCGCCATCACTAGTTGATCTACTGTCGGGTTCTTGACTGAATTGGCCTATTCTGGAATTTGACAATTACCGGTTTTGTTTACTGGGAAATATAACGCGTTATGCATGTTAAGCAGAGGGTTTTGCAGAGAACCTTTTGTTGGTTGCTGTCTGTCATATCTGTTGTTTGTTTATTGTTTTGTCATAAATCGGGACATTATTTTTTTCTAGGACGATGTTCCGTTATGTGCTATATGTAGCACAACAGTGGAACGGTTTGACGATTGGAAATGGACCAAAAAGTGGAGACATTTTATTCTCAGAGATCATCGTGACATGAAAGGTAAATATAAACTTATTGTTTGAACTAATATAATGTAAATTATAAGCCTGGTATCTTTGATGTAATTTTTTACCATGTCAAAAAAAATAAATCTGTGTCTTGTAACTCTAGATATTTAAACCAATGTCAACTTATGTTAACTCTCAATTTATGGTTACGCGCATATAATTTGACAACTGCTTAAATGGCAACCAATGGTTTAACGTTTCGAACAATCCTTTTCATTAGTTTTAAACATTCATCGATTAGAAAAAAGTTACCTGAAGGAGAAGTCATTAAACCATTGTTGATTAAAGCTTTGAGAAAAAATATCTGCTTCTCTTTCATTTTGTGGTAACTATTAGCACACTTATGAATAGCTGTTTTTTCATGAAATGAAAAACATATCTTGTTTTACCTAATACAACCATTCGGATTTCTGTATCATCGGTGGTGACTGTCGAGAATACGTGGAGAAACGAAGAAGACGTTCTATATATTATACATTTTATTTGATCTAGAATGCCTAAGTAAATTGTGAAACGTCACTCAGTCTTTGCGTTACAATACCTGAAATACGTTACGTTCCCGCGTTGCGTTCGTGCCGTATTAACAACAGTGACATAATGTGTACTAATATCTGAAGTTGCCGCCATATAAAAAATTGACAGTTTTAATATCAAATTTCGATTATAGTTTCTATAAATTATAAAATGCAAAACTAAGCTGAATTCATGGCTTTGTGCGTGTGATGCAATATCTAACCCTGTCAATTTCATCTTTCTTCTGTTCTTTTTTAGCAGTTTATTGATAATTAATTGAAAACTGTAAGGTCGATGGACAGTTTTAAATTTATAATTGATTATCCATGATATTTCATATTTTTGAGAAAAAAAATACTAACGAGACTTCATGGCTCTTGATGATTTTCAACAGTATCTATTTCAGTTTTTTCCCTTCAAATGTTTATGAAATTCTCTCCCTCTCTTTCTCTGTCCGCACATTTCATTTAATTGTGATAAATTTTGTATTTCACTTATCTATTTATTTATCCATATTATTCAACACCTAGAAAATTTCTGCAGTCTGTTAAAATAATTGATGTTTTTTTTTAATAGGAGTGATCAGCACTGTTTGAAGAAGCGTTTACAACTGGCTATGAACATTCAATTTTGAAAAGTGCAAGGAAAGCAGATGAAGATTTATCTTTTAACAACTAGAATGACAGCAAAGTTTTTGATATATCATTTACTTACATCTTTATAATATATTTGTTTTTAATTTTTTTTAACCTAATCAATGTTGATAATGGCTAATAATATTAATTCATGAAAACTATTTATCATTAGTGAGGTAATTTTAACAAAAATCATAGACACACATAAAAATTTATAATAGATATTTGTACTTATAGCAGCTATGTGCTCAGACTTGGAAATATCTCTAAGTGAATTTCCGTAAAATTTTTAAAATAAAGAATGATACAGAAGTTTTTAATGGCTGTGTTTTTTTTAAAGACAGAAAATTTCAAATAAGTTTTTGTTATCACTAATTTTGAAATCAAAAAGATGCATTTTCCTTATGCAGACATTATCATACTTTTAAATAAATCCTTAATCAATTTTAAAATTACATCTAACATTTTGTTTTTTCCCTTGCTTATTCCATAATTGTTTGCTTTCTTTTAAGGTTTGCCTAGATACTGTTCTTTTTATTTCTCAGAAACGAAATGAAAGGGTCTAACTTTTTAAAGAAGTGTTTGTAATGCTTTTTTAGTATGGCTATTTTTTAAGAAATATAACCAATTTTTTTTTTTTAAATTTTACACCTAGAATATTCATAGCATAATGTTGTGTTTAACCAATATTGAAGACATCGTGAACAACCCAAAAGGGAGTAATACAATATTCCCACGACCGAGGCTCTACTGTATTATCACATTTATAGAAGTATATTCTTTGATAAATAGCATATATTTTGTGTAGCTATACCAGTCATAATCATTTTTTTTCGATTAAAGTACATCGATTTCTTTGTACAGCGATGCCAGTTTTGTCTTCCGACAATTTTGATTAGAGTTCCACTGATAGGTCTTATGAAGACGATCACGCCTTGTGTATACTAAGTTAAAGGGCTGATTTCTGTGGAGAACACATTTCTAGCCATTTTTTTCAAACGTCCTCAAAAGATATTGTATGTGTGTAGCTTTTAACTGCAATTCCGTTCAATTTTATGTTAGTATAAAAGTAAACAACATAATGACATTATAATATCCTGCATTTATTATGTTATATCGAAGTCTTTAAAAATATAGGGTTAGATACTGAGAACAATTAAAAACTGATTAAGCAAGAAAAACCATTTGCAACATCAGTCTTATACGTGATACATGATAACAAGAATCACATTTTAATATGAATTAAAACATGGACCTTACATTTGAAAAAATCTGCAAATTCTACCGGAATGTAAGTCCTGGTCGCTCACTCTTTTTTTTCTTTCATTGGATTATGTTATTTTCTTTTTTTTTCAAATGTTTTTATATTTCTTTGACTTCTTAATTATAACAATGGTGATGTAATGGTGATGAATTTATCATTTGATTGTCAATGCTCCTGATGAAATTACACACAGAAAAACACTTAATAGTTATTAATAATCTGATTCTTAAAAAAGCACACTTGGCGGTGTAATTGGTTGTTGGAGAACATGAAAAGATTCATGCAAGCTTTTTGAACAGTGTCCCTTCCTAATATTTCAGACAATATTCAATTTATCATATACACATTTTTTTTACCATGGCTAGCTAAAGTAAAGTCAGTTTGTAAAGCTTGATTATCTATATATGTATACCTGTATAAAAAGGAAATGAAAATTATGAGATGCAATTATTTAAAATTTAACGCTGTGTTGTTATTCTTATGTATTTTTAACATTGCCATATAAGCGGGAGGTTTGGCTAGCCATAAAACCAGGTTAAACCCACCATTTTTTCTTAAAATGTCCTGTACCAAGTCAGGAATATGGCAGTTGGTATCAAATAGTCCGTTTCTATGTATGTTGGCGTTTGTTTTTTGTAGCAGTTCAGTGTTTATGTTGATCCGTTGTTTTCCTCTTATAGTTGATGTGATTCCCTCGGTTTTGGTTTGTGACCCGGATTTGTTTCAGATACATCGATTTCTGACTATTGAACAGGGGTATACCTTTATATAGCACCTCAAGTATTTATACAACCCTGGCTATCAAATATCTTGGTTATTCATGGCTAATCAAGAAAAGAGCTTCGGAAGAGCAAAATCTAAAAAGAGTTATTCGTATTTACTATCAATTTATCGGTAGTGCTGCAGGTGAACTTTTACTCCCGTAGGGTATCGTTAGCTCAGTCGTCAGTGCTTTGTCACTGACATGATTTATAATATACTTTTCTTAACTTCTTTGTTCATGAATTTAGAAATAATTAAGAGACTAAGTTTCCAACTCGCTAAGATTGTTTTGCCTATATTTTTTTAGATACGTTTTGATCATAAAGCTCATCGTAGCTTCTAATATGTGGCCCTGAGCGTTCCTTATAAATAAGTATCCAGAAATTCACTTTAGATGCAACTAATTTATAAAATGAAATCTTTATTTCCGATGCTAAAAAATCCTAAATCCCTTTTATATATACAAACCAAGAGAAAATCTTGTGGGACTCTTATCAAAACCATGCATTGCGAGACCGTATGCGTCGACAGTATAAGCGTCTGTGTTATACATGTATCATCCTCCGTGCGAAAACGGACTCAGTATAAATGTAACAATACGAAAACGAATAGATGACCATGCCGATGTCTAAGATTGCGGCAATTTGTCTCTGGGTTAAGAAGCAGTCACATCTTATTGCTCAACTAATTAATGGCGTTGAACCTAGTATCGATTTGTCGTTCTTTCTAAATATATTGCCAAAGGATGGGGGTTACATTAGGGGCTCATCTCAGTTTATTCATGCACATTACGAATAAATCGAGTAATATTATCGTCATACAACGGAACAGACAGTATATTACACATACATTAAGAATAGGATTTTTTCTAATTCTAAGCCCATTTATCCTTATCCTGACCAGGTAACTTTTTTTCTCTAATTCTTTGCAGATTTATCTCTTTCCTGACTTGTTGATTATTTTTATTTAATCAACGTGTGGCTCGTTTGATCTCAGTATTTCGTTGGTCAAAATTCAATTATGACGTCAAATTTACTTGCTTTCCTGTGAATTTCCTTTCGTGACGCCACGAAAAAATGCGACTATGCCCGATGACGACACATATAAAGAACACATCTTTTTGTAGATCATTGGAAAAGATGGATTAAGTTTGGTTGCATATCGGTTGAAATCATTAGAGAAACTAATTCCATCACCAAATCTCGTGTAACACGATATTTCTTCACTCTCGATATCTAAATTTTAAAAATTTAACTGTCTCGAGTGGAGAAATATCGGGTCACACTCAATGCATTGGTAGCATCTATATTTCTCTAATTCTTAGCCGATTTTTTCTTTTCCTGATCTGTTGATTATTTTAATTTAATTAACGTATGGTTGATTTGATCTCAGTTCTTTATTGGTCAAAATCAATTATGACGTCAAATGTTCTTGTTTTACTCTTAATTGCCTATTATGACGTCAATAAAAAAGGTGACAATGCCTAATGACTAACTAGGTTTTTTTTTGAAAACTTAACTGTCTCGAGTGGAGAAATATCGTATCACACTTAATATCGTGGTAGAATTAATATCTAATCAAAGCGTGGTTCGTTTCATCTTAGTTCTTTATTGGTCAAAATTCAATAATGACGTCAAAGTTTTTTGCTTTCTATGAATTTCCTATTGCTATGTCCCGAAATCTCCTGCAATACGATAATTCCCCACTTAAAAAAGAAAATCATCTAGGTCATCACAAGATCTTTATCAATAAACAATTGTCTATACAACATGTCAAGCTCTTTATCAACCCGATTCTGACTTTGTTTTAAATTAAATTTGACTATCGTTGATTTGCCATCCGTTCTAGATTCCCGTAATGACAAAATCTTAAAGATGTCTTACAGCCAGAATATTTTTAACAGACTACTATTTGTACCTTCATTAAACAAGTGATTTGTAGTAATTTGGGCTTTTATTTAAATGTTTCTAAAACCGAACCTTACTGTTTGTGTAAAGGGTGGAGAAAAATGTTTCGTAAAAAATACTATTGCATCAGAAAGTTCTCATATATATAATTTGCACTTCGGAAAAATCTCGCACCATTTTAAATGCCTAATGATATTACATATTTTTTAATAGTTTCCTTTGTGACCTATTTAAATTCAATATGATGGATGAAAACATTGAATATTTCTAAATGGAGTACATAATTCGTTTTTTAAAAGCTAGAATATGCATTTTTCAAAATAGATTTGACTTCAACCATCAACAGCTCAGTAGTCAGCACTTCTGTGTTGACATTAATTATCATTGATATGGTCATAATCATTAATGAACTGTTATAAATTTTTGAATTTTCAATATTCTAAGGATATTTTACCCCAGGAATAGATTACCTTAGCTGTTTTAAACAAAACCTTTCAGAATGTTTTGTCCTCTATGCTCCTCAACTTTGTACTTTATTTGTCCTTTTTACCTTTTTTGATTCGAGCGTCACTGTTTAGTTTTTTGTAGACGAAACGCGCGTCTGGCGTACAAAACTTTAGCACTGGTATCTATGATGAGTTTAATGTAATAGAAGAGCAGGGACTAGAAAATGGGTTTTCTGTTAAAATCACAGAAAATTGTGTAACACAAAATACAGTGTTCTAACGATAACCGTTTATGTCTGTTTGACGCAATTCTGTCAATATGGTGGATTTCAAAAGGCCTGTTCTACAAATGGTAGGTTTAGCAAGCTAGAAAACCAAGTTTAACCCCCCATTTATTGGAAAAAGCCTGTACCAAGTCAGGCACGAATTTTCCAAACGTTTCGTTGGTTTATATATATCGAAAATTTGGTTTTGTCAGGTTTTATTGACATCCCCTTTCAGAATTATCTTGGAGTTTGGTATTTTTGTTAACCTATTTTCTAACAACATATTGAAAACAGCTTAAAAATATTAATGGAGACAAACAGCTCACAAAATACCAATAAAACGAACGATGACAACAATCATGTTTTTCTAATACATAACTCTGCAAATATTTTAGGCTTCTTAAACGTTTTCAAATTTTCATGTTTATTCTCATTTAATATTTTTCAAATACCGATATTGAGTTGTATTAATAACGTTGTACGGAAATTGCAAATTACAGATCCTGCCCTGCGTTTCACAAAAATATTAACGATTAGAATTGATTGTGAGTACACCCAACTGGTCATGACTAACGCTGGAGTTGCTAACCCAATCGGCGCATGCTGTCTTGCTCTTTTTGGCGTTTATGCCATTCCTTCAGTTTTTGTGTGTCACTTTGATTTGTCTCTTTCTAATCTTTTGATGAGATTTGAACATCGCTTAACTACTGTCACCTTCTTTTACGAGATTTGTAACGGATCTATCTTTTTGTGTCTATTTTCATAATTGAAATTGTATGAAATATCAGGTACTTAGTATTTAAAAAAAACATCACTTAACTGTATTAATAGAAAAATAAGGAAACTTCTGCAAAAAAATGATTCTTTGTTATACATTGTATCAATAGCTAAGAAATTCCCAGTTTTATCAATATTGTTGTTAACATCGGTATATATACCTTTTTATATATGATTACAATATATAAAGCACATTGATTTTTTAAAGAAGCAGTCTTTTATTTCATGAAAATAGCATGTGACTATAAAAGGATAGATTTATATTTGTTTTCAAATCGTTAAAAAAAAGATTTTTTAATCACACAAATAACAGCGATAAAATTGTCTTGCAAAGAGCTTCTGTGCAATATTTCATTTATAAGAATAGTAGGAAGATGGTAAATTATACATACACTTGACAAAACACAAAGCAATCTTTACCTCAAAGTCACAGTGAGGCACGGAACACAACCTGACAACGAGCATCAGGTGCATTGAAGAACACATAATATAAAGACAACCACGGGACACATTAGGATATTTGTTAAATAACTAGGCAGAATACACGTATGAATAAGGCAAAATGACAGGAAAGACTGCATGATGATTTCGATAAACAAACAGGGAGCTAAAATATAGCTATCGAATAGTTTTTATTCTTTTCATGTTTTTTTGCCATTAAAAATATTGGGTGATTGAAGATAATATAAGGATTTGGTATCCAAGAAAGTGTCATATTGTAAAGCCTTTCTTTTTATACTATTATTTTTGCAATCTATATTAGTAATAATTTAAAGTTATATGATACTTCAAATTAAAATACATGCATACATGGGCTTTTTTAAAAAAAAAAAAACTTTATCTTATCAAAATCTTCAGAATTGTACTGCTATTGAATTATCATCTTCCCGTACTCTAATTCGCCGATTGCTTTTCCTAATACAGTGACTTTAACCACGAGACCTCTCGTTTAAACTTCGACAACCGCACAGCGCAAGTGCATGGGAAATCCGCGAAGAAAGAAAAGGTAAAAAAAAAAACACGGAAGTTGGATATTGTTAATAGATTTTGAAATAAAATAATATATAAAACCAAATCATTTAATAACTGTTATGAAAAAGTTTGATTAACAAAAGAAAAATCATGGAAAATATAAAAACAAAATATAATAAACATAGCTTTATTTCATGTCAATCATCTCACTTATTTTTTACGTGCTCCATGATTCTCTGTAGTGGTTATCATTAAGGTCACAATCGGTAAACTTCGGCAATAAAACCTAAAAACCTGATAGTTAACGCCAAGCATCATATTGAGGCAACGAA